CTTAGATACTAAGTCAGTAAGGATGAGCCCATCTTCTCTACCAGAGCAATTGGCTCAAATAACCAAGGTCTAAAGCAATCAGATCCTTGATGTTCCCCTGGCATAAGGGCTATTTCCTAGGTAATCCAATCAGAGTGTAGCCAGGTCCTTGGGTGATTAGTTATAAGCAAGACAATGGCCATTTTTCTGGATTTGAGAGAAGCAAGAAACTCTGGTTGCTACTGGAAAGCCACAGCCTGAAGCCAAGTGACAACGGAGAAATGCAGAGTGAAAGTAGTTGTAAGGAAATAGAACTGAAGTCCTAAGCCACAACCAAAAGCACTCAACTGCAGGACCTTTCAGTTATATAAGCCAGAAAGTTCTCTGTAATGTTTACATTCATTTTGTTCTGTTTTCTGTTATTTGTAAGCGAGAGTGTACTAATATCCCTTCTTGAGGATTTCATAACCGCTGCCCTGGATCCTGGCTGCTCTGAAAACAGCCCTTGTTCTGAGAGTGAGGTCCACCCATTTCCTGTGGCTGCCTCCTTCCAGCCCTCACCTGCTCCGAGGAAGTGCGCCTTGAGCATTAAACAGCTCCTCTCCTCACTGAGGTATTTAGAGCAACTTATTTCCAACTCCAAAGAGAGGACAGAGCTTCTCTTCCTTAAAAAAACAATCTGTCACATCACCTATCCCAGGAATGTCCTTTTCCTGGAATGACTGAAAGAGCAAATAGCTCTCTCCACACAGCAACAGTCACCACCCCCATTATATCTCAGAATCCCAGACAAAGCAGGTTCACAAACAGAGCAAGTGGGGAAACGAATGATACACATGGTAAGCATGCAAACAGGTTCGCCTAGTTCCAAAACCCATGCTTTTTCTACTACACCAAGCTTGCCATCTAAATAATGTGAATTTGATTTTAAAAATTTCAATCAACAGAGTTTAATAGAAGGGTTGAGTTGATAAGTTCAAGACAAAAGAAATATGGTAAAATATATTCTTTTCTAAATCTTGAACCCTGTCCACATGACATGATTTGCAATCCCCTTTCTTTGGTTATTCATGGTGTGTCTACTTAGAAATTTTATGGGATGTATGTGCACATTCATACTTTATGTATAAAATGGAGTGATGACTGCCTTCATAGTAAAGATAAAATGCTATAAAGGAAAGATTCCTTTTGACAGGTCTTAGGCATAAAATATCAGCTGGGCCCCATCTTAAAGGTACTCAAATGTGAGCATGTGAGTATTTGGGGAGACAGGGGAGGAAGAAAACTCCAAAATGAGAGAACACAGAACAAAGTACACGGGCACAAAATGTGAGCTCATTTGGGAAATAGCAAGTAGTCTAGCTGGGTTGCGTAGGGAGGGTCAGGGCAATGCAGAGTGGTAATCAGGCTAGAAATGCGGACTGGGAGCAGACTCTGCTTCCCAAATGCCCAGAGAAGGTGTCAGTCATGCGCTCCACAGACAATGAGGGGTAACCTGTGGAAGGTTGCCGGGCAGGGATGTGGCGTCGTTTCATCTCTGCCTTGTGATGATTACTGCATGTTGGGGAAGTGTTCATCTGTATAGCTGACCATGATGCTTATCTGCTTTGCCTGGAGAGTCAAATTAGGGGGTGAGTAGACATAAACTATGGAGAAATACAATGTGAGGAGGTAGATGTAGAGCAGGTGAGAAATACAGAAGAATCCGAAGGAAGGCGGTTTGTAAGATTTCTGTCTCCCTAGAACTGTACATCTGGTGCAAGTCCAGCTGAGTAAAGGAACTGACTCCAATTTGGAGAGATCTACATAGTTAGGTAAATAGGCTTCTTGGCTTTGGAATAGTCACTGTGAAAAAGTGATCAATTAATCAACTCCAATCTTATAATCATGTTCTAAATTCCCCCCCCACCCCAAAACTCAGGAGAAAGAAAACACATACAAAATTTCATATAGATATTTGTGCACTCAACTCTGCTTATCCTGTCTCCCAGTTTGGATTTCTCTGTTACTGAGAATTCATCATCAATGGACAGGCTTTGAGAAGATAGCATGTATTTGTAAAGACTAAGACAGCACATCCTTATTTATCAAACCCTGTGTTCCTGCCGTCCCTTCCTACTGCCCCACTTTTCAGGATAACAATGGGGGAGGGGGGGAGAGTAGGCAAAGTCTCTTGGCATTAGCATTTATTCTTTCTATGACAACAAACATATATTAATTATGCTCTGACCTTAAAAAAACAGGAGATATTGAATACAGTGATTTAATAGCCAAAACATGTTTCCTATTAAATTTCATGCTAAAATTGTAAGGTGACTAAGTAGCACTATCCATTCACAATTGTAAATGAATTAATCAAAGCTCTGTGACTACCAAAGCCAATCCGTTAATTCCGCAGTCCTTCCTATGACCAAGAGTAGCCTAAGTAAAGCCGTTCAAATGAAGTTTATTGTCAATTTGTTTCTCATTCAACTTACACTCATCAAATAGCATGTTATATGTTGCATGTCTTCATTGGACAAATGATAGCAGAAACAGAAAGTTAAATGCTTTAACAATTGAAATTGATGGCCATCTACTGTAGAGAACACTCCAGGAATAAAACAAAGGACACCAGTCTAGAAATAACATTGGAAATGCCTATATTATCAAATATGGCATTTCAAAATAATATCATAAAAGTACCCAAAAATGCTTTTTATGCAGAGGAGTTGGAAAGGAAAACTTTTGAGTGTGAATTTCCACTTGTGAAACTACCTCTGTAGAATTTCTCTGATGAGGCTCAATTTAAAAAAGATCAATCCACAGAAAGCATCAAAAACACCTACAGTGTTATGAATAGAGGACAAAGGAGGATACCACAGAGGGCTCAATTTAAAAAAGATCAATCCACAGAAAGCATCAGAAACACCTATAGTGTACGAAGGAGGATACCACAGAGGTGATGACTAAATCTTGCTGTTCAACCCATTCTTTAGCTTGTGTAAAGTTCTGTATACCTGGCGGCCTTTTTCTGGCGGTGAATATGTAATTTCTATTCGTGGCAGGCCTTCCCAGCTTCACCAACACACCCTAGATACACAACTCGGTTTTTTATTCACTTGTGTTTATCAAGGTGTGGTTATATATGCATGGGGATAAGAAATGGTGTTCCAGAAATGCATGATTCAGCAATTGGCAGATTTTCCTAAATATCAATGTTCATGTCAAACATAGACACTAAGAGTTAGAATCCTGGTAACACAGGCGCCTGTAGTCAGGATAGTGCCACAGATGAAAGAGTAAGCGCATCTTCCTCTGGGTGTGTAGGAATGTTGTTATGAGAGTTCCACTGAAGTTTCCCACAGGGCATCCATTCTCTGTGTATTCTAAGTAGACTGGAATCCTACATCTGTGCAATGGAAAGAACATTGAAATAGAGGTGTGGGTAAGTGTGTCCTAACATTTCTATTATTGGCATTAAATAACTTTTCAGCAGGAATGGGCCTCTGAGATTATGTAAGCGAAAATTCTAATTTTCTGAATAATGAATTTTAAGGTCCGACAGAAGTTAATTGACTGCCCAAAGTCTCCATGCCAAAGTGACGAAGCTGGGATTCGGACCCAAACATTCCCAGACCAGGAGACCTTCCTGTGGCACTGTGCTGTGGATGTAGCCTCTCCTTAATCTCCTGTCTGCGAAATGAGTGCAGTGAACTGGAGCGGTAGTTTTCACAGGGCCGGTGAGAAATGCGCAGAAGGTGATGCAGAGTGGCCAAGGCCGGAGGCCTCCCTGCAGTTTGGGGTAGGATTTATTTGGAAAAATTCACAGATAAAAATTTGAAATCCACAGTTACTGATGATCTACTTCTAAGTTCTACAAATGCAAAATCATCTTGTATATGTTCACATTTTAAAATAATTTCACTCTCATGAATCAAGCAATGTATAGCCATTCAAAAATAGTATAGGTTTTGATTTGCTTTTGTTTTTAAGGATGTGAAATGGGAAATTTAGGAGGTATTATTGCAGACATATTATTTCCAACATGAAAATTATCATAAAAATCATCACTTCTTGAATGCTCACTAAATTGCAGGCATTGTTTCATGAGTTTTGTATCTATTAGTTCATTTAATCCTTACACTATCCCCATTTTTAGAAATAAGGAAACTAAAGTGTAAAAAGCTTAAGTAATTTATTCATCGTCACAGAGCTAACCAAACGGCACACTCAGGCTAAACATTCACCCAGGGCCCATTGCGTCATAACCTAAGTATGTTCACTATAAATTATTTACAGTCAAACGAAAACATATCTGTGGCCTTCACGGTGCGCAGAAACCCTTTATCTCCACAAACTGCACTTCTAACCTCATAGTCCTCAACACCAGTGACGGTCATTGAACTAATAACCGCATGAACGACCACCATTCATTGAAAACGCCTGACACACACATGTTGCCATTACATCCTACAAGATCCACACATCTTGCTTGGTTACCTGGTTGAGATTGACCTTGATATGCACCCGGCAAAGAAGGCAAGTTCTGTAAAACTTACAATATTGCCAAATCTAATGCTGACACAGAGCTGGGTTCAAAACCAGTTTAAAATTATCAATATAGAAATTCTCACAAAGTAGCTATTAAAGGGTGGGGGTAGGAGAAACCTCATTGTCCTCAAAGGGAAATGCCCAGAGTCAAGAGAAACCCGGCAGGTCTGAGTGAGCCCCGTCTTTAATGAGAGGCACCTAGGAAAGGGAGGCCGAGGGGGCCTCCTTCTTCACTCGCAGACTGCAATCGGGGTTGGCTCCAGCTCTCATCCTGCTGTCCCTGCTTAGAAAAGCCTCTTCTGTTTCTCTCCAGCTGTGGGGACCATGCCCCCTCACTGTTGTGTCTCAGCGAGGCCAGGGTGCTATCTATTCTTTCTGCTCTCATGAAGCCTGGGGACACAGGGCTGGTGGCTGGGGTGTGGAGGTGGCACTGTGGCGGGGGAGGGAAGCAGGCACAGTCATAGTCAGTTGTGTTGGGGAACAAGGGCTGTGCTCTTAGTTTAACAATTTATTTTTCCCAAGTCCATTGTGGGGTTTGGCGAACAGCCTTCCTTGGGGAGAAGAGAGTGGTCACTTCCAGGTGACGGCGACGTGTCCTTGCTTTGGAGGAGGACTGTGATATTCAGGGGGTCATCTGCCCACATCGCTCGCCTTTTCCCCAGCAGACATTTCCAAGGTAAAGCATTCGTGAGATCTTTGTTACAAGCTGTATGCGTTTTCTATGGCTTCCATAGGAAATTCCCACAAACCGGGCTGCTTAAAACAACAGAAACTTTATTCGTTCACAGTTCTGGAGGCTGAGTCTGAAATCAGAATGCTGAGAGGGTCCCATGTCTCTCTCCTGGCCTATGGAGGTGCTGGCAATCCTCAGTGTCCCTTCGCTTGTGGCTGCGGAACTCCAACCCCTGCCTCTGCCTTCACGTGGCCCTTTTCTCTTCTCTGCTCTTCACTTCCAAGGACACTTGTTGGGTTTAGGACCCACCCAATCCAGGATGTTCTCACCTGAAAAGTCTTAATTATATCTGCAAAGACCCTTCCCCCAAGCCAGGTCACATTCACAGCTTCCAGGTGCATGTGCATATCACCTGGGGTGCCACCACTCATCATATTTTATTATATTGGGAGGCGTGTTGTTTTAGGATGCTAGTTAGTCATGTGGGTTCTTGAAAGATTTTTCTCATTCTTAGCCTGCCACTTTCAATGACTTTTGTGTGTGTGTGTGTGTGCAAAGAAGTGTCTTTTCCTTAGTCTGCTGTGCTATTTTAAACTGGTTTTTATTATTGATTTTTAGAAAGAGAAGAAGCAAGAAGGAGAGAGAGAAGCATGGATTGGTTGCTTCCCGTATACACCACAACTGGGGATCGAACTCAAAACTAGGGTGCGCACAGGATGACACCCTACCGAGTCACACTGGCCATGGCATGATGCTCTATTTGATACTTTTGCGAGGTTTTAGTTTATTTTAATGTGCTTCCATCTTTCAACTTACCCCAGCAGCACATTTTAAATCATGAATGACAGTGATACATGTACCGTTAGACCCTCTGTGTCATCATCTAACTTGGTCTGTTAAAGTCCCTTATGAAGGTTAGAATCTACGTTATATCATTTCTTTGTAATGAGATCATCATACTTTGCAGAGCAGGTATGAACCCCTCAGCAGATTGAGAATACTCAAATTTCATGTCTTTTCAATTTTTCCAATTAAACTAGTTCTATCCTGACTTGCTAGATCCACAGAAATCTTTCTTTTCAGGCGTCTGAATTGTGTGAGAATATAGAGAGTTTAATCAGTGCAAACAGAAGATATTTCCTTCCATTTGCCGCATAGGAAAAACAGGACTATTTCATCCATCCACAGCTTTTGGTTTATGCTTTTTCTTCCTGCTCTTGATTTCTGTTGCAGCTACAAGCTACCAACACAGAAAACCCATGCAACATAGTCAGATGTTTTTGTTGGTCTAGATGTTGTACCAGCTCCAACCATGCACAGGCCTGATGTACCAAAATTATAATTATTTAATTCATTCTTATATGCCCAACATTGTCTCCAAGGAGATCTGCAGTAGTGGGGTCCTCAGATCTCTGTCTGGGTCTCTTTCTTCCTCCTCTCTAAAATAAAAGAAAAATTAAAAAAAAAGAATCTAATATCATGGGATCTCAAAAACCCAAACAACAGGTTGGGTTCTTAATGTCATTCTTCCCAGGAAAATATCTATGGAAATGTAATTATTTCATCCCTAGCAACTAATTGTCCATACCACAGGATGTTGGAGGTGGAGAATTTATATAGTCTTAAAATAGGTACTATTGGTCTTCTTTTTAAAAAAATTAGTTACTTATTATTTTACTAGAGGCCTGGTGCACGGATTCGTGCACTGGTGGTGTCCCTGGGCCTGGCCTGTGCCCTCTTGCAATCTGGGACCCCTTGGGGGATGTCAGAGAGCCAATTTTGGCCCAATCCCTGCAGGCCAAGCCTAGGGACCCTAGTATGCATATAAGACAGTGGTTCTTAACCTTCCTAATGCCTCGACCCTTTAATACAGTGCCTCATGTCGTGGTGACCCCCAATTTCATTGTTACAAATTGAACATAATTAAAGCATAGTGATTAATCACAAAAACAATATGTAATTATATATGTGTTTTCTGATGGTCTTAAGCGACCCCTGTGAAAGGGTTGTTCGATCCCCAAAGGGGTCGCGACCCACAGGTTGAGAACCGCTGATATAAGATCTTTGGTTAATATCTTACTGCCCTTCTCCCCTGCCCCCTTCCCTCTGAGATTCATCAGTCTGTTCCATGTTTCCATGACTGTGGTTTCCGCTCCTGCATTGAGTGTCTGCCCCCTGGTGGTCAGGGTATGTCATAGCTACCTGTCAGCCGGTTGAATGGTTAGCTGGTCGGCCAGTTGCTTAGGCTTTAATATACCAGTATATATATTTTCCTTTTTTAAAATAGACTATTTTTAACACACTTTTAGGTTTGCATAAAAAAGAACATCTGTCCATCCACAGTCTCCCCTACCATTATCTTGCATTACTGTGTGGTGCCTTTGTTATAATTCATGACTCAATATTGTTACATTTTTAATAACTGAAGTTCATTGTTTACATTAGGGTTCACTCTGTTCTGTAAAGTTCTCTGGGTTTTGACAGGTGTGTGTCATGTATTCACCCTTACAGTGTCACAGATAATCTCATTGCTCTAAATTTACACTGTATACCACCCATTTCCTCCTCCCACCCCCTTCTCTGACCCCTGACAACCACTGATCTCTTTAATGGCTCCACAGTTGCCATTTCTAAAAGGTCATATGGTGGAATCATGCAGTATAAGCCCTTTAAGACTGGATTCTTTCACACCATATACATTTAGATTCCTCTATGTCCTTTGTGGCTTGGTAGCTCATTTCTTTTTATCACCAGTTACATTCCACTGAATAGAATGGTATGGTGTTTGTTTTGGTATTTTGCCCATTTTTAAATTGGATTGTTTCTTTTGTTATTGGTGAATTTTAACAGTTCTTTGGATATTTTGAAAGCAATTCCTTTATCAGATATATCTTTTGCAAATATTTCCCCCTATTCTGTGACTTGTCTTTTTATTATTGTAACAGAGTTTTAATTTTAATGAAGTCCAACCTCATTTTTTTCTTTCATGGATTGTATTACTGGGTGTTGTAGCTAAAAAGTTATCACCAAATCCAAGGTCACTTAGATTTTTTTTTCTTTAGTACAGTGGGGCCTTGACTAACGAGTTTTTTGAGATACCAGCTGTCTCTCGGCTGATTTTTTGCATTGAGTTGATAGAGTAATTTGAGTTAACGAGCTCCTTAATGAGCTCCTTAAGGAGCTCGGTCTCGGAACGAATTAAACTCGTAAGTCAAGGCCCCACTATAGTTTTATTGAAATATAATCCACATCCAATTCACCTAAAGTGCACAACTCAATGGTTTTTGCTACACTATGTTAATTTTTTAAATTGTGATAAATATATACATAAAATTTGCCTTTAACCATTTAAAAATATTTTTTCCATCACTTTTTACTATGCACTTTTCTATGAGTTTTGTAGTTTATGTTTAGGTCTAGGATCCATTTTGAGTTAATTTTTATGAAAGGTAAAAGGTGTATTTTTTTGTGTGTGTGGATGTTCAGCTGTTCCAGCATTATTTGTTGAAAAGACTATCCTTTGTCCATTGAATTGACTTTGATCCTTTGTCAAAGATCAATTGACTATATTACTGTTGGTCTATTTATTCTGTTCCATTGACTTGCCTATTCTTTCACTAATATACTATTTTGATTACTCTAGTTTTATAGTAAGTCTTGAGTTTGGGTCATGTCATTACTCTGGTGCTTTTCAATATTATGCAGGCTATTGTGGGTCTTTTAACATTCCACATAAACTTTAAAATCAGGTTGTTGATATACATAGAACAACTTCTGGACTTTTATTGGAATTGCATTGATCAAGTTGCATTGACATCTTTACAATACTGAGTCTTCCTATCCTTGAACATGGAGTATTTCTCTATGTATTTAGTTCTTCATTGATTTCTTTTGTAGGTTTTCACATATAGATATTGTACATATTTTTTTATATTTATACCTGAGCATTTCTCTTTTTTAATGCTAATATAAATGCCAATTGGAAAAATAGAAAAGCAATTGTCTTTTGTATATTAATCTTGTATCCTTCAACCTTGCTATAATTGCTTATTAGGTTCAGGAGTTCTTTTGTTGATTGTTTTGTATTTTTTACGAAGACAATGATGTCATCTGTAAACAAAAAACATTTTATTTCATTTGTATATATTTTATTTCCTTTTCTTGTAATACTGAATTAGCTAGGATTACCCAAATGATGCTGAACAGGAGTGATGAGAAGGTACATCATTAAAATGTTCTTAAGATAAAGAGACTTTAAAGCATTAAAGAGTTTTGCAAAAGGAGTGAAAGAGAGAGAATATGTATTAGATTTGAATTTTGGAAAAACAATTCAAATGCTGGTGAAGATGTACACTGGAGGTAATGAGATCACCCAGGGGCTTATGGAAGGCTATGCGCTACTGAACTAAGATTATAACAGTGGAAGTCAACAGAGTGAATGACTTATACAGGTGTTATAATGATACATTAATCTATAGGATTTGGTGATGAAAGAACAAGGGTGTCAAGGATAATGCTGGGATTTCAGGATTGATTGACAGGACAAATATAGATGCTATTACCAAAGACAGAGAATACAGAAACAGGAACAAGATAAAAGTGATGATAATTAGTTCACTATTGCGTATGATGTGCCACAGTACATCAGGGCAGAGATTTATAATTGATATTTGAACTAAATGGTTCTAAAGTTCATGTGAGAGGTGAAGACAGAAGTTGAATCTCTGACGGCCTCTAGAACAGAGATAGAGATAGAAATAGAGTTAAAGATATTAGAAATTATAAAAGCTAATTATAACCTATTAGTCATTAGATATTAATTTTCATAACTTAGAACAAAGGACAGCCCTTAATGAATGTGTATTATACTGAGTCATCTTTAGAAAGTGTTTGGCCTTCTCTAGCGGTCTTCATATTTTAACCAGCCTCAATTCTGGTGACTCAGTTATGGTAAGAGTTCCATAATTCAATCATATGAGTCATGTTTAAGCAAAATAATTTTTTATGAAAATAATGTATAACATCCCAAACTAGTTGCTATCAGATATCAAAGAAGTACCTGATATTGGATTCATGACAA